GTCAAAGGCTCCCGTTAGGTGTGCAATCTTCTAGGTTCTGAGACTGGATTCATAGTGGCATCTTTATTTTGAAATACCTTTGTGCCCTGGCCAGTTTGGCTCAGTGGTTGGAGTGTTGGCCCCTGCACTGAAGGGTCGCGGGTTCAATTCCAGGTCGAGGGAACGTACTGGGGTTGCAGGTTCAATCCCCGTCCCAGTTGGGGCACATGTGGGAGGCAACCGATGGATGTGTCTCTCTTACATTGATGTTTCAATCTCTCTCTCTCATCGATGTTTCACTCTCTCTACCCCACTCCCTCCCTTTTACACTCTCTTAAAAAAAAAATCAATGGAAAAAAATATTCTTAGGTGAGGATTAACAACAACAAAAAACAAACAATAATAATGAAATACCTTTGCTTTATCCAAGTAACCTCCCCCCACACTAAATACTCAAATCAGCTCAGCCTTTTTTCTTTATCTTGGCAACACTTACTGCTACTTTTTTTGTTCATAGCATTTAATTTAGCTCTTTTAAAATCTCCTACAATATGTTATGTATATTTTACCACAATTAAAAAAAATCTCCAAGTGTAAATCACATTCTAGCATTTCTGAAAATAAAAGTAAACATGTTAACATTAGGTAAGAGAATGAGTTTTTGCTACACTGTACATATATATTTTTTTAATTGAAAGTTTCCCCCACAAAAGAAATAATACTACAAACATAGTTCATATTTTAATAGCAAAATTTTGTTAGGCTTCAGGTGTCCCTCAATAAAAGTTTTATTTTTTATACATTCTGTCATGAATTCAATGAAGTAAAAAATTCATATGCTGTTGTAAACAAATTACTTGAAGGTAAACATTTTACAGATTTCAGTATCTCATTTATTAAATTTTGAAGTATTAAGCAATTTCCAATGTGAGATCTCAGGTGACTTCTTTGCAAAAAACAAGTTGATCCTAAAATTCACATGGAAATTCAAGGGACTCACAAAAGTCAAAACAATCTTGAAGAACAAAGTTGGAGGACTCACACATTCTAATTTCAAAACTTACTTTGAAGCTACAATAATCAAAACAGCGTGGTGCTGGCATAAGGATAGACATATAGATCAGTGCAATAGAATTGAGAGTCCAGAAATAAACCTTCACTTTTATGTCAGTTGCTTTTTTCCAATAAGGATACCAAGGCCAGTCAATGGGGAAAGGTAGTTTTTTCAACAAATGGTGCTGGGACAACTGGATAGCCACATGCAGAAATGAAGTTGGAGCCCAACCTCGTACCATATATAAAAACACAAAATGGATCGAAGATCTAAATGTAAGAAGTAAAACCATAAAACTCTTGGAAGAAAACATAGCAGTATATCTTTATGATGTGGAATTGGCAATGATTTCCCAGATATGACACCAAAAGCACAAGCAACAAAAGAGAAAAATAAATTGGACTTCATCAAAATTTTAAAATGTGTGTTTCAAAGAACTCCATCAAGAAAGTAAAAAGACAACCCACAGAGTAGGAAATATTTGTGGATCATATGTCTGATAAGGGAAGTGTATCTAAAATAAAGAACTCTTACAACTCTAATAAAAAGACAGCCTGAATTTAAAATGGGCAAAGGATCTGAATAGACATTTTTCCAAAGGGGTGCACAAAGGGCCGGCAAACACATGAAAAGATGCTTAGCATCATTAGTCAAGGGGAAATGAAAATCAGAACGACGAGGTACTACTCCATACACCCCAGGATGGCGATAATAAAGAAGACAGACAATAACAAGTGTAGAGAAATTAGAACCTAATAGACTGCTGGTAGGAGTGCAGAATGGTACAGCCTCTTTGGAAAATCGTCTGACGGTTCCTCAAAAGCTTAAACATAGAGTTACCATGTGACCCAGCAATTCCCCTCCTAGGTATATATCCCCAAGATAAAACATATGTCTACACAAAAACTTGTACATAATTGTTCATAGTAGCATTATTCATAATAGTCAAAAACGCGGAAATCATCCAATTGCCCGTCAACGGATGAATGGATAACATAATGCGGTCTCTCCATTCAGTGGAATGCTACTCTGCCAAAGAGAAAGGCGTGAAGTATTGGTACATGCTACACCAGGAACGAACCTTGAAAGCACTGCTAAGCAAAACCCGACAGAAAAGACCACATGGCGTATGATTCCATTTATAAGAAATGTCCAGAATTGGCTACAGAGACAGAATTGCCTAAGGCTGGGTGGGCAAGAGGCTTGGTGGAATGATAGCTAATGGGTGCGGGCTTTCTTTTTGGGGTGATGAAGATTGTGATAATAATCGCTCAACTCTTTACTAAAAGTCACTGAATTGTACACATTAAATGGGTGAAATTTGTATGGTGTGTGGACTTTATCTCAATAAAGCTGTTAACAAACAAAAATTTCCAACCTGAACAATTATTTGGAAGACTTTGATCCCTGCCTTGTACTATTTCATTCTTTTTTCCCCTTAATTCAACCTCCCTCCTGGGTCTGGAGTACAGGTTGTAGAGGACCTGAACTCTCAGGCTTTCCTCTGACCATGCACGTCAAGATAAAAGTTCATTCCATTTGCCCAGTTAGGGTACCCAATCGGGCGTTCTTTTCAAAATGCATTTGTCCATGTGTTCTAAGACCAGAGAAGAATTTCCCCCCACCCTAAATTGATTTCTTTATATTTGAGAGCAGATGAAACAGGGAAAAGCATTTTTCCAGGTTCAAGTATACAGCGTGGGGGGTAGAAAGAAGCTGGGTTAAATATGAAATTCCTCTAAGCCCAACGACACCAGGAAAGAGATTTGGGGATTTTAGGAGGCTGCCCACTCACAGAGAAGGTGAATGTGATGTCCAGGATCGTGTCGGTGTGAGTCCAGTCAGTCAGCTTGACATTTGAAAACAACTCGGAGAAATGAGCTGCTAGCAAAGGCTGCGCTGCTTCAGGGCCAGGGTAGTCTTGAATTCCCCGGTCTCGTTGGAGGGCCCCCGTCCTCTGATTCCACCTCCTCTCATCTCCTACTTTCAAATCCTCTCCTGCCCACTCGCCATGTCATTAACCTTTCCCAGGGAAGGACCCGAAAACTCAGGCTGAGCTATAAATGACAAGAGAGACTTCGATTGTTGTTCCCAAGCTCCCTGCTTAATGAGCTCCAGAAGGCGAAGGCCAGGCCTGTTCCCGGCCCTTTCCTTCCCAAGGAGGTTGCAGCATCAGGGACAGGCAGCTTTGTGTGTGCCAAGGCAAGGAGGCAGAAGTTGGGAGGTGGGCTCACCGGGGTGTAGTCACATCTCCCTTAGGACGTAGGTCCTGACCCCTTCCTACAAAGCTAATGTCCTGAGCTGATGGGCCTCCGCATGGCCAGTGATAGCTCCTGGGCCAACTGTTTTCAATGTGTTAAGCTTGTTGAAAACAGTAGCCCTAGATAAAGGGGAATTCAGGTGTGTTCTGGTCATTTGGGGATCCTAAATATAGGGAAACCTGCTTACACGTGCAATCTGTCCTGTGAAGTCACCTAAATGGCGACCACAGCCTGGGAGAATTTGCCTGAATGGCCTGCAGAGTGGAGCTGCATGTACTGAGAGTGCTGGAACCCCCCAATCCCTGTGACCATGGGGGTGAAAGCTCAGCAGGCGAGGCGCTCCTACCTGGAACCTTTGGTCATGTATGGCTCTCAGGAGACTAGGACACGTGCTCACACCCACCGGACTCATGTCCACTGCCCAGTCACCCCCACCCTTCCACTCCGTGTCCCCGGTGCTCTGTAGTCCTAAATGGCCATGACTTAATGAAAGGAAACCCAGCATGCAAAGCCAGGCTTTATGAAACATGTTCCTGTTTTGAATATAGTAAAGCAAAAGAAGTTTCAGATTATCAGGGCTGCTTTGTGTTCCCCTGGGACTGCACCTTTCATAGTGTCGCTGCGATAAAACAAAACAAAACAAAACAGCAGCAAATTACCCCTGCTGCTTAGGCTTTTGTATGAAGATTATTTTTAGGGACATTTTTATTGTTCTTATTTTCTTTTGCCCTGAATGGGGA